TGTGTTATAGATATATATATCTATAGATATATCTATCTATAGATATATATAAAAACATCACTTTAAAAATGTATAAACGTAAAAAATAAAACCATTATTATATTTACCTTTTAATTGAAAATGTATTTATTTATTTTTCCATATTTTGTGGTGTAGATCAGTGAAAATAAAAATAATCTAGAGCATATGTTACTGTTGCTTTACACTGAGAGGCAGTAACTTTATAGTTCTATCTGTGTTGCTGTGTTCTTTTTTGTTGTTCATTGAATAACTTTTACTTATATTTTCAACCTTAATGTATCAGATGGATGGCCTCATACACCGCTTCATTACCCTGCTGGCTGAAACAAACGATGCGAAAGATAACCGAATGTCAGATGCCAATTTGGCTTGTCGCAAGCTTGCCGTGGCACATCCCATCCTTCTGCTCAGGTACACACTCTGCTAAATCGAGTGGTTACTGTGTAGCGGACCAGTCACAAATGGCACAGGATGGTCTGTGGTTAGTGAATACTAAATCAATTAAAGCCCTGTACCATATTGGACATACTACTGAAATGAAAGGTGCTCTTTTTTAACTGAGATATAGATATATTTATGACATGCTTAATTTAAATAATGAAAACACCTTTGAAATTGTAACAAGGTGTTTAAATGCCATCTTTAAAAATAGTCACTAAAGCTCTGAGAACGTAAATTATACATCCTATGTCTTTCAGTGCTGGACACATGCCTGTGAGTGTACTGCAGCTGCTTAGATCTCCTGTCAGCAAATCTTTTAGCACTGATGTTAGTGTGTTTGCACTTTAAAATGTTAACAAAGACATACCGTATACAGTTCAAAGTTAGCTGCAGCTGTCAGGAGGAGATAATTACAAGGTATCTATTTTATTAACCAGCAATTGCTAAAGAAATCTTGTCGGTAGAAAAATTGGACAAGTGGGCAATTATTTTTTAAATAATGCTTTATTTATACCTTAAAGGAGAATTATGAGGTGAGTGATTTTCACTCAGCCTCATAATCTGAGCCGACCTGTAACAATGAGACTGTCACAGGTCGGCTCAATAGATCGGGAGGTGAGCTAACACATACCGTCGCTAGCCCACTTCTCGATCTATCCCTGCAGAGAGCTCCCTGCAGGGATTCCCCCCTCCCCTGTCCGATCCTGCAGCACTGACTGGCGGAACCTGCCGCTGATGACAGCTATTAATTTAAAGGGGACAGTCTGCTGAACAGTTATACTATAAGCTGATGGTCGCTAAAGCGACCATCAGCTTATAGTAGAACTGTAAATGCCAGGTCCGTATGGCATACTGACCTGGCCAGCTGGAAGCACTTTTGTAGGTCCGTATGCCATACGTCCTTGGCAGCGAAAGGGTTAAAGAAGAACTTCGGGCAGTTAAAAAACTTAACCCTGCATTGGGTCTTCCCCCACACTGCAAGGGTTAAGTACTCGTTTTGTAGGGTCTAAAATACAAAAGATATACTCATCCGAACCTTGGTCTTGCCATGCTGCAAGACCGGTCCCTGCAGCCTCACGTGTAATACAGCCTTACAGTCATCATGTGTAATACAAGTCCATTGACTTGAATTATACATGAGGATGCCGAGGGTCAGCCAGAACAGGGGAAGAGAGCTGAGCAGTTACTGATATATATTTCTTATTTTAGGCCCTAGACCAAAACGGGCACTTAACCCTTGCAGTGAAGGGGTAGTCTCACTGCAAGGGTTAATTTTTTCAATATGTAAATTCAAATACCTATATGAAAAATATGTTAAGTTTATGTTATTGCTAATAAATGACACAGGATTTAAACATGGGGCAGTCCAGGATCGCATAACTCTCAAACACCAAAGGGGAATGTTATTCCATTAAAAAAAATCTTATATTTTAAACAAAACTTAAGGAGTACATTCTCAGGAATAAACCAGATGATCTGATTCTAATAGGGGTGTGTTCTTCACAGGAAATTTTACAATGATATTTTGCATTATCAGAATAGCTTTGACGTTCCAGGCACCAGATACCTGCTTGCACTGAGACCTCCATTTGCTGCAGGCACACTTAATTCAAGCCCGGGTCCAAAAGAGCATATACACCTGGCAGCCTTGTAGCCCTGCACTGACAGCTTTGTTCTGTGAAGAACTTTCTCTGGTCCTACACAGGATTGAAGTGGGTTTGAGGGCCAGATCCTCCTCCCTTCCTGTCCTACCTCAACCAGGACATAGTCCTTCATCTCTCTGTCCAGCTTCAGGAAATGTTCTCTTCCCTCTCTGGCTAAGTTCATGCTTTGTGGGTTTACCTCGCAGCCACTGATTACATTTAGTCTCTGTATCCGAGCTTTCTAGAGGAGGCCTTGGGCTTCTAGGGCCATTTACACAGGTGAATCTGGCCATTACTCAGTCAGGTGTCCCCTTATAAATAAGCCAATGGTCAGAGTTTCCCGATGTCCACTGTGTCCTTTAGGCCCCATTCACACCTATGCGTATTGTAATATGCGCGTCTGTCACGCGTTTTTTTTACCGCGATAAAAAAGTTGCGCGATTCCAAAGGCTACTTGGCAGTATACAAATGGAAAACGCCCTACAAAACGGACCAATACGCAGCAAAAAACGCTCCGGGACCTTTTCATGCGTGGGCCGTTTTGTAGTGCGTTCGGGACGGGCGGAAATACGGACAGGTGGGAACGATACCATTGACTACAATGCTATTTATTTTTTTGACCGTTTTGTAGAGCGTTCATCGAGCGTAGGACGCGCTACAAAACGGTCAGGTGTGAATGGGGCCTTAATGAGCTCAGAGAAAAGTATTTTTACGATGGGTACAATTTTTCAGTTGAGTCCAGTTAAATTTGAAACTTAGTCACAATACTAAAACAAATATCCAAATCCTTCTGTTAGAGCTTTAGGAATTGAGCCTAATGTATATACATTCACTACATTCTCCTAATCAAAGAGGATTGCATATTTCTGATCATTCTAACTGCAGGGAAAATTGCAGCACTGGAGCATAATTCCTGCTTATAGATGTTTTATAAACTGACTGAAAATTTCTGTTTTAGACACTTGCCGATGATAGCAGCTTTGCTCCATGGCCGTGTGCACCTGAATTTCCATGAATTTCGGCAACAGCATCATCTTTCATTCTTCATGCATGTTTTGGGTATTCTGGAGCTCCTGCAACCCCAGGTGTTCCATAGCGAGCATCAAGAAGCCCTTTGGGACTGCCTTCTGTCCTTTATCAAACTCCTACAGGTAAGAAGCAATGTCCGTTTGAATATTCTGTTAAAGTGTATGTGCCTTTTAGCAGCAAACAGTTCTGTAAAGGGTGAATACAAGGAAGCAGACTATTGGAATTGTTTAGTGTTGGATTTAGGACATTTTTTTATTTTACCTGGAAAGCATAAAGCTTAGTCATTTAACAAAAAAATGCTAAGCGTTTTTTTTGGCGGAAGAGACTGTGCTTTTATTTTGTGTACATTCCCTGCACACATGTGCAGTGTGGACTCCTGGTCCATTCATAGCATCTGTAAGCAAAAGCTTGAGTCCTTGTGTTCAATCTGGGTTAGGAGATTCTCAGGTGAACAGAAATCATTTGAGGATTATCAGACATAGTCAAATAATGCAATCCTGTCAGGTAAATCCAGTGTAGGTACCTTGTATATTTTAATTTAGGACTCACTGGGTGCATTAAACTGTATTCATCTGCTTTGACAACACAAGCCCAACCCTAGGGCAGTGAGAGAGAAATTGCTCTCTCTGTGCCCTGTTCAAACCAAGTGCGTTGGTATGTTTTGCACAAAAATGATGCATTTCTGCATTTTTGTGCAATGCACAAAACAATGCGTGTCAGTGCAGCGCAGCACTCTGTTGTGCATAGACTTTTTTTCTTTGTATTGATGTATTAATATATTTACAGCTATTGGTCATCTTACCCTAACTGCTGTTCTGCTTGTATTTAGCATTACAGAAAGTATTCCAGGCAGCTGGCTGGCTTCATCAGTAAATTTGTACAGTTCATCCACAAGTACATCACATGTGACGCTCAGGCAGCTGTGTCCTTCTTACAGAAACACTCTGATCCCCTACAGTAAGTCATTTAAATATGAAATACCTCGAATGTCCTGGCTGCATATGTTATTGTGTTTTTTCTTTACTGTGAGCTATTTGTGCCAAAGCTCACAGCAGAACTGTCAAATGTTCTTCAATGTCAATAGATCCCTCACAACTATTTGATGTATCGTATGTTAATATACTTTTTTTTTTTCTTTTTTAATTAAAAGTGTAAAAGAAATAGAGAAGCTTAGCACTCCTACTGTTTACTTTGTTACAAAGATCTGTGTATTCAGCTTAACTCAAGGCATATAGAAAAGATGCAGTTCTATATTCATTAGTACACCCTAATGGCTGAAAACACTTTTGCTGTGCCTTGCTTTGCGCTAAGTGTTTCTTACAGTTCAATTATACCTTCATATTTCTTTTTTGCATATATCTACTGCTAGCAAGCAGTAGATATATGCATAATCATAATTAAAAAAAAGTTACCAAATAGGTAAAAACTTACCTGTGTCTCCGCTGCTCGCTCCCGTCCGAAGATCTGAAGATTCTCGACCGGCCGTGAAGGATGATGGGGTGGGCGCATGTGCAGTAGAGATCTTCGGCCGGGAGAAGAGGAGAGACACAGGGTAAGTTGGGCCGGGAGCGTGCATGCGGACAGACACCGTGGGGCCCGAGGAGTCTGTGCTGGATCAGAGACCGGCACCAGCGCTGGAGGGACTCCTGAAAACTACTGGAAAGAAGATGATGAATGGATTAAGTCCTTAAAGCATCATTAAGGGGGGTCGGAAATGCGACTTTAATGTCATTTTAAGACGACAAATGACTGCAATGCTTGAGGGACTTTCAAAATCTATATTTTTAAATGCTGTTTCCAGTTGAGGTGATTTCCCTTTACTTACTGTTCAGAAACAGCACATGAAGTAATGGGAAATCTCTCCAAGGTAAAGGGAAGTCGCCGATTTAGACATTTTCCCAGAACAGGTTTCCCCATTGGAAGATCTTCTCTCTTCTACTTTTTCGGTGACAGATGTAAAATTTAGGATTTCCACTTTTTTTGTGCCACTGACAATGATTCTCAAGACAAACAGATAGGGGAGATTCTCTCCAGCAGAGATATGGACAACAATTACAACCTCATAGGGGTTTACCATTTCAAACTCCTTCCAAAACTAAACCATATATTTTGGCTTCAGATTGGTTGATGAATTTTACTTGGAAGAGCCTGTAGCGATATTGACATTTAGCATTTAGGCAGAATGAAGGTTCCTTAGGCTAAGCATAACCCAGGTAAGAACAATTTTAGAGATGAACAATTAACGAACATTCTTTATCAGAATAATAGTAATAATTTGATATTTTATGCAAGGTATTGAATGTTTTCTATTGTCTACACTATGACCAGTCACAGACATCTGTAAGTGCATGTGATGTAAACAGCATTTCAAACTGACAACATTTCTCAAAAATGACCAGTTTCAATCTAATAAAAGTTTATGGAAGAAAATAAAATGTCTAGTTTCAGGATTTCTGTTGGCGAACAGATTTTGAATCGAAAACGTTGTCATTTGTCAAATTTTGAACTTGTTTTTTTAAAGTTAACCAAATCTAGTAAAGTTCAGCATGTATGGCTAGTCATAGGCTGTCTACTATTTCTGGTCACTCATGCTACACAACGCAGGAAGCTTGATTGAGTCTGAGAATAGGACAGTAAAAGCAAATCCTGATAGATAGCTAACAGTTCTGGTGCCCAGAGTATAGTGTTCACACTGTATGCTCCACCACTGTTGATCACAGAGGGAAGTATTCATTTTTGCAAACCCTGTAGATGTTTTACACAAATGGAATACACCTATAGACACATTATCCACCCCAGTACCAGCATGTTTCACCTTCTTCCTTTACATGCCATTTTTTAGTGCTGTGATAGTCTGACTGACAATTACTCGGTCTTGCAATACATTTTATATCATCTTTTGAGATAGATAGAACTGTATTTTGATGGCATGTAAAAACTACAGTTTTTTTTTAACAATGTAAAGGAGGAAGGACCTGCAATTTTGAAAAAAAAGTGTTTTTTCGTTACTGTTAAAACAAATCAAATAAATTATGTTTTCTTTATAAATTTAAACCAAATTATATTCTGTTGGGATTGTCATACCCAGACATGTACAGACAGAATGGGGTATGTATAGGTTATATAGGGATGCCACTCTTAGACGTGTACAGGAGGGGGTATAAATAGCTAATATAGGGGGTGTCATACTCAGACTTGTACAGGCAGGATGGGATGTATATATAGATTATATAGGGGATATCATACTCAGACTTGTACAGGCAGGATGGGGTGTATATATAGATTATATAGGGGATATCATACTCAGACTTGTACAGGCAGGATGGGGTGTATATATAGATTATATAGGGGATATCATACTCAGACTTGTACAGGCAGGATGGGGTGTATATATAGATTATATAGGGGATATCATACTCAGACTTGTACAGGCAGGATGGGGTGTATATATAGATTATATAGGGGATATCATACTCAGACTTGTACAGGCAGGATGGGGTGTATATATAGATTATATAGGGGATATCATACTCAGACTTGTACAGGCAGGATGGGGTATAAATAGCTAATATAGGGGATGTCATACTTAGACATGTACAGGCAGGATGGGGTATATATAGATTATATAGGGGGTGTCGTACATGTACAAACAGGAAGGGGGTATATATAGCTAATATAGGGGGTGTCATAATCACACCAGACATGTACAGGCAGGAGGGGAAGTATGTAGATTATGTAGTGGGTGTCATGCTCAGACTTGTACAAGCATAAGGTGGGTCAGTAGGTAAAGTTATGAGCTGTCACCTTATGGATTTTACTGTCTAAAGTTAATAATAATACATTCATTAATTAGTGAAAAATGTATTAATTAGTAAAAAATAAAATAAGAAATACTTCACTGGTGCGCAGCCTGACTGTTCCCCTCTCTATGGCAGAGTGATCAGCAGTTGTGAGAGGAAGGAGACGCCTGTTCTTGGTTTACTATTACACTGTGTAAACTTGTGATCGCTGGGATCACAAAGCACAGAGCCACTCTCATTGGCTGTAGATAAACCGGTATTTTTAAAACACTGGTGCATGTTTATTAGAAGAAATATCTGATGTTTTTCTGTATGGTGATCTCTCTGATGTCTATCATTTTGCAGTGCTTTGTCCTCGGAGAACAATGATCTAAATATGCTCAAGTCTCTCCTGGCTGGTCTAAGCCTGCCCAGCAGAGGTGGGACTTTGGAGAAGAGCCAGGATGAAGAGAGAGAAGGTGTGTCCCCGTAATTCTATGACATAATATAGTGTCCCAGTGCAATATTTGGAAAGTGACCCTGGTGATATTGCAGCTGCATGCAACAATTCAGAAATTACTCAGAGATAATGCTATTCAAAAACATTGCAATGTTGCTGAGATTTGAAAATCTTTTTATTTTGTCTTAAGTTTTAATTTTCTCATGATTCCTCATGAAACCTGTAAGTGCTTGTGCAAAAATGTAAAGGAGTACACTTCATTGCAATGTAAGTATATGTTTGATCTGGATTCATTATTGAAAAAAAGGTTGATAGTTTAATACTACTTTGAAATCTGTATGTTTACCTACATATGAGCAGAGATTGAATGTGTGCAAGTGTAATTTCAAATATAATTTGTTGAAAATGCAGTAGAATCATTCATTTTGTGCCCTGAAACATCACATGTATTCAACTAATCCATTCACTAGGAAACAATGACTTCTCTGAGGTACAGAATAAAGGGTACATTTCAGTTTTGGGTTGAAAGCAGTGTTGTTTAATCACTGGATTCTTGTATCTTTGGGTCTCCAGCAGTCAGATCTTTGTAAAGTGTCCATGACTCCCTGTGACCTTTATGAGATTTCAGTCTCGCCACTAGGTTCTCTTTTTACATAACTGCAACTGTCAGCAGGCTTTTGTTCACTTTAGAACTGCCACTCTCCCCATACAAGTTTATGGGAACGCAAAAGTGGCTGAAGTAGGTCAACGGCATCTTTTAGGAATTATGAGTGATCTCAGAATGATTTCAGATGCATCTACAGCAGATGTCAAATGCATGCTCTATATGTCCATCATAGCCCATTGACATAGGCCTTTAAGGAGCTTTTAGAAGGAGTAAGATTCCCTTGCATGGACTAATAAGAGCCATCTCAGGAGTTGGCCATTGCAACAGAAAGACTGCACAATTAAAGTTTTTATGAAATAGAAGGTCAGTGGGTGACCTGCATGAACCTTTAAGGGAAAAATCACATATCAAAGTTATATATTTCCTGAAAGAAGAGATCCTGTAGAATAAAATGGTGGCAGCTGCAGTACTTAATGTTACATGATGGTTCCTGATTACGCACATGTAAAGACTTGTGATAGTAATCAGGCACCTGTAAACCACCTCCAATCTAAAGGTGCCCATACACTGTACGATTCTCGTACGAGAATCGCGGGAAATCCCGCGGTCGTACGAGAATCGTACACTGTATGGAAGGCGTGTGACCGTTTCTACTGTACGGTCGCACGTCTTCCGTCGAACAAGCAGGCTTGAAAACCCGCCGAGAATCGTACGGGTTAATGGCCTGCTTGTTCGACAACTGCCGAACGGGCCGGTGTGCGCACGCCCACACTGTCCGTTTGCAGTGATCGGAAGCCCGCCCCTCACTGCGGTCATCGGAAGCCCGCCCCTCAGCGGGGCGGGCTTTCGATGATCGCAAGTACGATCTGCCCATCCAGGATGGGCAGATCGTACAAGCTTTCAATGAGCTTACGACCATCGCAAGACAAAGGTCTTGCGATGGTCGTAAGGTGTATGGGCACCTTAAGGGCTAGTTCACACCAGACTCAGTGCGTTCCAGGAAGATTCGGTGCCAGAATGCACTGGATTGCATCCCGGACAGATCACTGCGTTCTGGGGCGGGAAAGGGCATAGCAGTGCATTGACGTCAATGGCACCGCAGCCACGCCCCCCGGCCGTAGTGTGATCGCCCGCACTAGAATGTGTGGCACATCAATGCCTGCGTTCCGGTCCAGTGTGATTAGAAAAAAATGCTACATGCACAATTTTTTGTGCCACGTGTTTCTGGTGAAGGCGATCAAACTGCGGCTGAGGGCGTAGCTGCGGTGCCCTTGACTTCAATGCACCGCCACGTCCCAGAACGCAGTGACCTGGCTGGGATGCGATCCGGCGTATTCTGCCACCGAATCGTGCCATAACGCACTGGGGCTGGTGTGAACTAGCGCTAAAGCCAACAGTAGGCTTTACACATGTAAACAGACTCCCAGCTGCTATACTGCAGACAGGGCCTCACTGCTGCTGATGTATGGCTTACATCAGCGGCAGGGAAAAGATTAATGGGCTACTTTGTTATATAAATAGTAGGTCCCCTCCTAACTCTGGGTTCACACCTAGGCGTTTTACGTATGCACGTCTGTCGCGCGACCGTCACACGAATCGCGGTTAAAAAAAAATCGCGCGACCCCGAAGGCTGCTTGCCTGTATCCCAATGGAAAACGCCCCAAAGAAGTACATGTACTTGTTTGGGCGTCAGCCGTTTTGTAGGGCGTTCAGACGGGCGGAAATACGGAAAGGTGTGAACCATGCCCATAGAAAACAATGGGATTTTCATGGTTGTACGTTTTGTAGAGCGTTCATAGAACGTTGAACGCCCGACAAAACGGAAAGGTGTGAACGGGGCCTCAGAGAATGTCAGAGGACATAGATGTACAGGTCCTAACTGTTAGCTATCAATTCTAGATTTGTGTTTTTATTTAGACTGTTTTCATATAACAATTTTCTCCCATGTTTTGGCACAGATGACTCAACTGCAGGGTCACTTCCTCTCGTCAGCGTCTCAATGTTTACACCTCTTACCGCTGCTGAAATGGCACCTTACCTTAAGAGGATTTCCCGTAGTCATACAGTGGAGGGTACGTTTCTATGTTTCTGCTCGGCTCTTGGTTTGAAAAGGGTCCAAACTCTGCTTTTTGCTCAAAAAGGGGCTTTAATTTTATTACTACTCCAAAGTTTATTACTTTTGCAGTGGATTTTGTATTGTACCTGTTGGTAGCTCTGCCTGTGAATAAGTAGATAGGTTCTGGATCTTAAAGTGTATTTCCACTTTCACTGCCAAATTGGGATCTTTTGATCTTCTGATCAAGGGATGTGGGGTGGAAGGACAGGGCACCTACTGTGCGGGATTTGGCCAGTTCATCAAGAAACAGCCAAAAAGTGTATAGCCTACCCAACTGAGTCAGTGCAGTGACTTCTCCACTTTCTAATTTTGCCTCCAGTACAACCCCTGAAAAGAGATAACTATTATTCTGCTCTCCCATAGCGCTCTGAGAATCCTTTGACGTGTTAAATGTTTACCTATAAAACAGCGGTTGTGTGTGTGTACAGATGCTCCTTGGGTTGCGATCGATCGAGTTACAATCTTTCGCATTTACAATGGAGTTTACTGTACAGTACTGGGATCCACAGGGATCGGTAGGTGCCGGATAACTGTAGTTTCTGGTTGCTTTAGAATTAATAATAACTCTCAAGCAATCATCCCCGCGGCACTACGCTTCCCCATTCACCTGCCGGCTAGCTTTCACAGCCGACAGGTGAATGTAAACAGCCAGGAGCAATTTCCAGACATCTACTGGCTATTTCAAATTGCAATAGCAGCTATTGCACCCGCCCAGCTAAGAACTTTCTCAGGTACACTCCTCCTCCTCTTAGTGGACGGGATTTCAATAGCCAATAGCAGTCTGGCTATTGCTCCCTATTGTGTACTGTCTGCTGCCGACCACGGCAGTACAGTACACTGGAGTACACTCCTCGGTTTACAATACAATCGTGTTACGATGGGTTTATCAGAATGTAACCCCATCAAAGACTGAGGAGTGTCTAAATAGATGGGTAGGTAGGTATATATTAAAAATAGATATAAAATATGCATTTCAAAACTGAAAGTGCCAATACCAAGTATTTGGCGACTACTCATACTTGCGCAAATGCTCTGTTACTTACTCCCAAAACCGTAACGTCCGGCCAGAGGAGATTTCCTCTGAATGGCAGTGCCGCAAGGGAACATGGAGCCGGCGTTCCCGGGCCAATCAGGAATGACTCGCTTCTTGATTGTCCGGGAAGCCGGCTTCATTCTGTTTGGCCAGCTCCATACTGGTTGGCTGGGAAGCCGGCTTCCTGGCCAATCACTATCGAACCGGCCAGACAGCATGGAGTCGGCTTCCCGGGCAATCAAAAAGCCAGGAAGCTGTCTCCATGCTAGTGGTAGTGCCAGTACTCAGTATCGACGAGTACCGAAAGATACATATCAGTACTTTGTACTCGATATCGGAAAACCGGTATCGGTGCATCCATACATATTACACACATGTTTTCAGACTACAAAATGTAACTGTTATGTTAATCACTTCCTGCTGGCATCACAAGAATATGCTGCAGCACTGAGGTGGGCCTTAACACTTAGCTACCACATTAATGCATCCCTGTTTTGTTCTGCGATGGAGCTCAATCGGCACCCCCCAGAACTGTGATCAAGCTGGCACTATCAACAATCAGGAGCAAGTGATAGAGGCTTCTAATTACATCATCACTGTGCATCCAATCACAGTGATCGCATAATTGAGAGCCCCTCCTACCAGCCTTTGGCACCATGGCCCACTATGGCTGGCAACAAGGGGTTAACAAGTGTAAATGGATGTACACTTGGGTGCTCAAAACAAGATGCCTTAAGGCATAGAAAAAAATATTCCCTGCCGATAGCTCTACACAAAAACATTCATAAACAACTGAACTTTTTGCATACTTAGATTTGTCATTGCTGCCAGTAGAAAATTTTACATTGGGATGTAGCGACCTTGTCATAGATTAATACTGACTTGTTTAAATTATTATTTCCTTCATTTTCTTGTGACAAAGGCTGCCACAAAGACAAGTTCAGCAAGTTGCGGTTTCTCAATGTTGCCCATAAGCAACAAATGTCTTCTGATATCAGGGGAGATCTCTATTAGAATATACTTAAAGAATCCCATGAGAGAAGTGAAAAGTCACATCTTAGATCTGTGTCAGCTCTTTCCCCGTTTCCTCTACATCTCTGTTACAGCGCTGGTAATTTTGTTTTGTATCCATCCCAGAGCCTTGCCTGCAATCCGATCAGTTCTTGAAAGCCCAAGAATTGCCCGGGGCCTAGAACAACATGCAGAGCTGGCAGCTGGGCCCCTTCTTCAGGGGTCCATGGTAATCTGTCATCACACTTTGTTTTCTCTGCAAAATGAATTGCTTGATTGAAAGACAATGTTTTATCCCAGCCTTGTGATTGTGTCATGCTGGCCCAGCTTCTCTGCAGACTCAGCCTGTGATGGATTTAAGTTGATGTCTCCTGGACTTGTTTCCTTTTCTTCCAGATATCCTGCAGGTCCTGAGCGACATAGATGAAATGTCAGTGCGGAGGCCTGAAATCCTTTCTTTCTTTGCTGTGAGTATGCCAAGCTTTGCATCTGTTACCGGTGATCCATCGGTTGCTAGCTTTATAGACCAAAGCCATGCTCAGGTTTCATATAATTCTTAAGTTCTAAAAAACTGAGTGCCGACATTGTCTACACAGGTCAGTATCGCCGTACAGCTTTTCTCAAAGCTGTTAAAGGCATTTTCCACTTGATATAAAAAATTGAACGCTACTGGGACCAATCCTCATAGCAGCTCACAGTGGTCTCTCACGCTTCAGCCTCCTTGGTGTGTCAGAGCAGAAACTTGTATCAGAACAGAAACAGGTTTTGAATGCACACAACTCAAGTGTATATATTGCTGGGCTTTTGTTGGTTTTTCAAAACCCACTGACCGTGACAGCTATCTGACTAATAACTAACTGAGCAATGTACAAGTCTGAACGACCTACCTAAGTAACTGAGCTATTTACAAAGCAACAGGAGGAATCGGGTAAGGTAGGGTCAGGAAGGGTGAACAAGGAACAGCGGGAAGGAAGGGTGAGGCCAGAAAAGGGTTCGGGCACACAGACAGCAGGATCAGGAGGACTGGGATAGGGCTGCAACTAATGATTATTTTCATAATCGATTAGTTGGCTGATTTATTTTTTTGATTAATCGGATAAAAAAATTAAATAGATACCAACCTAATTTAAAATAAAACACACAAATGCAGTGTTACAAGCATAAAGCTTACTTCAGAATAAAACTGCATGCGCAATTTTTTGCATTCGCACTGCACTGGAATGCACGGCATTGCAGTACTGTGTGCGTTTCAGTGCGGGCAATCACACTGAGGGTGGGAGGCGCGTTTGGGGTGCCATTGAAATAAATGGCAGCAGAATTTGTCAGGCCGATACCGAAAATTACCTTTTTTCCCCGCCTTTTAGAATTTTTTCTTAATAACTGTATTGTAAACACACGGCGCTTGAATAGCTTCAGCCAGGGAATGACAGCTGCCAGTGGAAAAATGCCACAGACGGCATCTGAATGTAAATACAGCAGGTAGTTGGCTGGTGCAATAGCCAGCCTATTGGCCATTTCAAATTGCAATAGCAGGCTGGCTATTGCACCTGCCCACTGCTTGCTGTGCCCTCCCCCCCGCTTGGAGGAGAGAGCTAGGGGATCCAACCAACCAATTGAGAATAGTTGACAACTTTTCTCATAATCAATTATTATTGATCTATTAGTTGTTTGCAGCCCTAGACTGGGATGAGGTACACAAGTAGCAGGTATAGTTAGCAGGATCAGGATGACTAGTACAGGAAGTAAGGCATATAGGAAGCAGGTATGGGCTGCAGAATCAGAAAGACAAGGAACACTGGAAGCAGGGTCAGGCAGTAGAATCAGGATGACTGGTACAAGGAGCAGAGTGAGCACACAGGTTAAACATGAAGGAGGAGCCAAATACCCTCTCCTGCTGGATGCTAGAACTACTCCCTTCAGGTCTTAGGACCACAGTGCCACCAGCATTTGCCCCAGTTCCTAACATTAGAGTTGTTCAACTTTAAAATAATTTCTCATATGACGTACAAATGTTGGTTTTGCATCAGAGATTCGTAGGTTAACAAATAGATCAGGCAAGCACTCTCTGCAGCCGCTCTGACTTCCTTCTTATAGTGCCTGTTAAATGCAGTATTGTGGTTTACAAGTTTCATTAAACACCACAAAGTCCTCAAGCTTCTTCACCGGGGCCATCTTCTTCCCCCTGGCTTATTTCTGTTTCACAATCCTTGGCTATTTTGATTGGCCAGGCTGGGATGACATAACTCCATTCATTTCGGCTCCGAGGTGTGCAGAGAATGAACACAGTGAGCTGCACATGGGTAGCTCAGTGTACATTGTAAAGCATCTTTGCAAGGATGAAGGGAAGAATCGTTTATTATTAAGAGGCACAAATAATGTCTCTTCTGCATTAAAAATCCTTCCTGTTTGCAGTTTTTCAAATCAGGGCTTTAGTTCCACCTTAAAGCCAGAGTTTGAAGGTGGAGTTGTACTTTAAGCCCTCGTTCACACCTGAACGTTTTGTAGCGCGTTCTACGCTCGACGAACGCTCTACAAAACGCTCAAACATCTAAATCCCATTGTATTCAATGGGTCTGGTTCACACCTTGCCGTATTTCAGCCCGTCCCTAACGCGCTACAAAACGGCCCACGCCTGAAAAGGTACATGTACTACTTTGGGCCGTTTTTGTTGCGCGTTTCCATTGGGATACAGCCAAGTAGCCCTCGGAAACGCGCGTTTGTCGCGCGATTTTTTTTACCGCGAATCGCGGTAAAAAAAACGCGTGACAGACGCGCATATGCAATGTGCCTATGTGTGAACCAGGGCTTAAACATTAGCCTGAAGTAGCATTTTGATTTGTAACAAATATTTCTGCCTTGGCTATATTTTTACATTAGGCTTTCTAGTATGAACTTAAAAGTGTCAGAAGAACTGGCTTTGAAGTGAGCAGTAATTGTTTAAACCTCCCTTCATTGGTGCCGGGCTCCGGGCCTCACACTCACACTGCAGGGAATCCTTGTAGAATATAACAAGGGAACAGTGCGAGGAGACACATGTCTGTGATGCTGTGAACTCCGTGTAAGGTAGAATCAATGCTGTAAAGTGATCTCTTCTTATTGAAGATGTAGTAATGGCAGTATGCTTGTTCCTCTTTGTTTTCCCAGAGCGATTTTCAGAGGCTCATGAGCTCCAAAGAGGAATCATGCCGTAATCTGGCCTTCGCACTGGCCCTGCGCTCCATTCAGTGTAATCCCAGGTGAGTGAGACGGATGCGCTTTGCTGTAGCTATGTATAGTTCAACATTCAAGTTGTCACTGGCCCCTCGAATAGAGAGAAATTGTCTTTTGGAATTGTGTGTATCTTCCGTTGATAAATATTCTTTAGCTGTGCTTATTATCTTAAGTTGTAGAAAGTATTTTATGGGTTTCAAGTAGGGATGCACAGATACTTTTCGAGTACCAATGCCGATACTTGGCATTTTCATGAGAACTACCAGGGTTGCAGCGGTTGCAGCTGGGACCTGGCTATGGCGCTCCACCACTGTCCTGAAATCATTAGTCTGTATTGTTTTAGAAAAACTGTCACATGACAATAAACAATAATGTATCAGTACGTTACTTGGGCAAGTATCAGTACTTGTACTCGCAAAACTGGTATCGGTGCATCCCTTTATATATGTTGATAAAACCAAAATCGTACATTAAAACAGAGATGTACAAATCCCAGGAGCTCTGTGTGCTCCTTACAAATGAAAGCTGCAACCTAACTGGAATTTTTCTCTAGTCTAGTCTTGGAGCTCAAAAAGTATCTGCAATTGTACTTGTACCGAGTACTGTACTTGCTATGGGTGCATCCCTAGTTTCAAGTATTTTTTTCAATTGTATGCCCTACATGTACGTACATTTATATTTTTTAACTCTTTTGATCCATTTTGTGCTGTGCAGTAGTTCTTTTTTTTTACATAAATAGTGGAGCTGACGACTTTGACCCATTAAAGTATATGTAAACCCTAACTATGAACGCCTCTTATTTGCATCCTTACGCTCCATTTAATATACCATTGGAAGCATTTTTGTTATATCTGTTTGAGAAGTGCAAAACAAATATATTAATCTTGTCCGAGCTGTTCCATGTCCTCTGCACACTTCTCATGTTACCTCAAAGAACTCCCTAGTGCTTATCTTGGACTACAAAATAATTAGTGTCTGAGAGTAGGAGCTGTTAAGTAGTTTACCAAAAGACACTAGGTAGGGCTGACACCACTTTTCCCCCCCAAAAAAACATGTGTTGTAAGCCCACAACAGGGCTTAAGGGTTTATTTCTTGCAGATTTTTTTTGGGGTACCTGCAGGGTCTATAAAGGGATAAAACATGGAAACGGGTGCATGTATTGCAGAGATGTGTTGCATATGTTTGATTTGTTTAATTATTTTGCATGGCATGCACTTTATTGTTATGCAAACCCTATCTTTAAAATGTATATGTAGCTTATGCACTCTCTTATCCTAATAGACTTTTTTGTTGTTGTTATGCATCACATTTTATATTGTTATCCATGTAATTCTGCTGTAAGGTTTTCACTTCCGCTTTATATTCTTTATTTTCACCTAGTTATCCTGCCAGTAACAAATGTTCTGTTTTATGGTGACAACACTCACTCACTGTATAAATGGAGAAACAGCACTGTCACCCTCACACAGGAAATTTGTAGTGATGCACCAAAATTACATTTTTAGACCAAAGCCGAAATAAAAAAAATTGTCAGTCCAAAACTGAAACCGAAAATTACTTTTTTTTCCCCAACCTATTTGACATTTGTAAAATTATTTTTTAATTATTTTTTTTTTTTTTACTTTACTGTTAGGGGCTTTAAAATAGAAAAAGAGTTTGCGGACACAGAGTCCTAAATCTTTTTCCGCAACCCCTATTCTGAATGAACAGGAAACCTTTATACTGAGTGCTCCTGTCCATTCATAAATTGAGGAGTTAGTATCAGTTACTATGTCCACAATCTTGAATGAACAGGAAGTGATGTAGATCACTACATCATAACTTTATTCATAACTGGGGATACAGTAAGCTTACCATGTCCTCAGTTATTTACAAACACTCAACGACTAGCACTGATCGCTGAGTGTTTGTACTCTGCTGTCCAACATAAGTGTGTTATTGCATGTAACGTCAATAAAGGGACGTTATTCTTCTTTTGGAGTGCCGGTGTCCATGATTTCTTATCTGCTCTCCATCCTGACTCACCTGTCACAGGAGACCGACGCGGGAGGAAAGCTCGGCCTCCTGTGACAGCTAACAGCTGTCTCTGCCCCACTCGGCCTCCTGACAGTTTCTCTCCTCCCCGCTGGGCGCCAGTCTGTGTCTCCCGATCCCCGCTGCCTCTGTCGACACAGGCGGGTTAGAGCAGCGGAGAGGAGAAAAGCTAGGGATGCACTTTATTTCCGGCCGCATTTTCAGCCGGTTTGGTACTATCGTCATTTTGCCCATAGTAACATTTTCGTCCCAAATGTTTTGGTGCATCCCTAGACATTTCATAGAACTACAGAACACCTCTAAAAGTCGTTAGCGTTTACTTACACTTTAAGGGCAGTGTAACACGGTCAGCCTACTGAGAGCTGCTTAGCTGTGTCGTGCTGAGGAGGCACGTCCACACTATTCCACATTTACTTAACTTTTACAGGGATTGGGACTTTTATTTAAAACACACAATCAAAGTTTTAGCTGTTACTGATTGATCCTTATGGCTTTTCCAGCATTGCTGCAGACTTTCTCCCGACCTTTATGTACTGCCTTGGTAGTAGAGACTCTGAAGTGGTACAAACGGCACTGAACAACCTGGCCGGATACATACTATTATGCCAAGGTAAGATCTGCTGATCAGACATCCCCTGCCATCATCCATGTTATGTTGGGTTGGTCCATGTTATGGAAATCACCATTGGATTTTTAATGGCATTTTGTGACACTCTCTAAATACAATATAATGTCTTCCAATTACTAAAGTTTAGTTTTAGTGTGCCACTGTGTAATATTAATTGATAATGATGATAGCCTATTTTAAAGTGTACCTGCTCTTTAGTCATGATACGGTAAAGGAGGTTGGTGGGAAATGTTGACACCATACCTGGTTCTTCTGCCACGTAAAGTCCTTTTTTAGGTTCTGTGTGCCTACATGCAGTTTGCATGTTACGGTGGAAGAACTAGAAGAATAGGCCATGGAAGAGTTAGAAGTAAGGCTCATCTATAAGATTTATTTTATTTGTGGTTGCATATAAGACAGTGAAACTCAATTTAGCATCAGCACCTCCAAACATTACTGTACATGCCACTAAATGCTACCACAATCTTATGTCCTTATAGCTGTCATATATAGAGTGGGTTGCTTTCTTTTGCAAAACTAGATATATTCTGAACTGTTCAGTTTTAGATAAAGCAGCGAGGCATTAGATCTCCTATCAGGTTTTTTATTGTTGACTTTGTCCACACTAGGAAGATTCAGCCCCTCTGTCCTTGTGACTTCTGTCACTGGGAATTAATTTCGTGGAAAATCTTCCATTTTCAGTGTATACCAGAACAGAAATAAAGTGGAAAATGTACAGTGGGGAAGCCTGTTCCTGTGACATCTGTCAAAGGCATAGATGCAGGCTGAATGCAAGAATGTCACTTGATTCCCCCATCCACCCTAAAAAGAATGGATGGAGGAATCTCCAGTGCCAGGTATTATAATCAGACAGCCGCAACACATACGGCTGCCTGAATACGCAAACAGTGACCACATCTTATAGGATGCAATCACTATTTGGCCAACAATTTTCCACCCAACGTTTCATGAGCTGAGTGGTGCTGAATAGACCACCCACGGCTCGAGTTTCCTGCTAAATAGGCTGCAATTCAGGTCACATATGGAAAGCTGAAGAAGGGATTTTCCTCACTTTGGAGAGGTTTTTCATCACTTTGTGTTGTGTCTACAGGACAAGAAGGGAAGGAAAATCTCTTCAATGGGACACAGCAAAATAAACTAGGTTATAACCATTACCTGCCCTCTAGAAATGAGAACGTTTTGGCTTTAGATATACGTCAAGTTACTCATTGAGATAAGATGAATGTCGCTGGATCAGGACACTCTTTTATGTCTGGCATAACAGCACAACCTCTGCAACCCTCCGAAGCTGACGTTTTATCAAGTGAAAAGAATTGATCATCCAGAAAGGATTTTCCTTTATGATTGCTGTAGTTTCCATGAGACTGTTCTTAACCCATTGCAGTTCAATGGTTTAAGAATTTCACACTACATAGTTGGCACGGCAGCAGACCTTGTTTATTTAATTTTGACACTTAGCTTATTGGGATCCATTTAGCACCGATTAGCTGTTGTTTGTATATCCATGAGACAGGAATATTTGCTCAGTGCATAGACATACATGTTCAGCCAAGGCAGTTGTACATGTTTATACCTCGGGATCTCTATTTAACAGTCTTGTGGCACTTGAGCGTTCTATCTGCCATTTCACATCTCTGTCTAGCCTAAGAATGTTGTCATTTTACATATCAAACTATTCCCCTCTTTCAGTCCAATCTTTCTTATCTATTTTATTCAGCAATTAACTTCCAGTGTTGGCATCATAACTCTTGTAATGTATCTTCTTGCAGAGCACGCCGCTGTACTTCTACACAGAGCTTTCCTGGTGGGAATGTATGGGCAGATGGACACCAGCCCTCAGATCTCGGAAGCTTTGAAGGTCCTTCACATGGAGGCCATAGTTCGAGAGACTCGCGAGTGACTGAAATGAACTTTTAACAGTTCAGAGAAAAGAATGAACTTGTACAGATGTTAACTTGGATATTAGTATTGTTTCAATTTACTATTTTATATTAAAACAAACCCTTGACTGGAAAGCGTTTTCCTTTCTGTCAGAAGGTCAGAATGCAGCTACAAGCTACAACTTTCCTACAATCAAGACTGAAAACAACAGAAACATCAAAATTCCTGTATGTATTGTGGAACAAGGTGTTGGCATCTAAAAGAATGGTTACATGAAAGAGCTTCTAATGTTACTATAGACAATAGAATAAAAGAGTTCTCCAATTAGAATCAAACACAAAATGTTCATAGTACCAGACCGTGTGCGCTTGATATTGCTTATTTAGGAGCTTCAGCAATACCTGAAATGAAGATTGGATTGACCCTTGAAACAAACTTTATTGTGTGTATTAGCTTTTATGTTTTTCTGACCCAAAGAAAGTTGAGCTGGGTGTCAGTTCATGGTATAAGCCCAAAACGATGCAGCCAGAATAAAAATGCAGGCCATAGTAAACTGCTTTAAACATATAAGCATATACATATTTATAAACCTTTTTTTTTTTTAGCAGGGAATGTATAGTTTTTGTTTCTATCTGAGCCACATGATCCCTGAGGTTCTGTTATCAGCACACAATTTGCAGGAACAGGGAAGAAAGAGAGAGCAGTAGCATATTACTAGCCGGTTACTCTTGGCCTCCACAGTAGCAGCACAATGTTTGGGGAGTGCTGTGAGTGTTGGCATCGCCATCCAACAATGAGACAGCTCTGTTGGTATACCTCCCACAGGATTTATGCTAGAGATATTATTTGTAGTTTAATAGCACCAAAGGGCATGTCCTGGACACAAAGAACATCTAGGACCTAGAACGGTGGTTCTTAACCTGTGTGACCTCAGGACCCATATTTTGTTCTTGGTTGTTAATTTGCAACCCAAGTTGCACCACACTGGAACTTACGGCATTGTGGTACTGCTCCTTCTGTTGCCGGTGCTTGAACTGTGGGCGGGAGGTGCGTTTGGGTTTTTTTTTTTTTAATGAATGGATGTGGGAGGCGCGTTGCCAAACATGCGGCAGGTGTGATTGCATAAAAACAAAATATATAGACACCGGCACTCCAATAGCAAATTAAATACATCTCTTTATTGACGTATGAGCAGCATAACGTGATACACTCAATGCATGTGTGATTGCATGGTACAGTGCGCCTAACGCACTGTACTAGTATGGACGGGCCCTCAAGAACACTGACAGATGCACACATTCACAGACACAATCTCACACACTCAGACATTCTCACACATGTCCAGTGTGGGCTGCTGTGCTGTGATTGAGCTCCTTCCATATGTACATTGCTTGTACAGCTCCCATGCACACCCTATAGAGGTGCCGGGAGCCAGGATGTGACATCACATAAATCCAGACAATTCTACAGGGCACATGAGGGAGCTGTAAGCAATGCACCTATGGATAGAGCTCCCTCGCGGCCATACCCTCAGCCCACTGCACCTCAAGCTGACACTTGGTGCCAGGCAGCATATTTTGAATGACTGCTCGGCACGAGAACTGACAGTGCTACGCTAGGGGGAGCCTCTCACCTAGTGCGGTGGAAGGCATGTGACGACCCACTTTTGGTTCCCTACCGACCAGGTGTAAAGCACGGACCTAGAATCAGGTTTCCAAAACTTGGGTCCAGCAGCTTGCACATGAGCATCTCTGCTGCATTGGCTGTAATAGAGCAAAAGTACATACATATAGTCTATGGAGCCAAACTGCACTTACTAGACCCATTGGGTTTCACAAAGATGCTGCTAGACCATGGTTGGGCTGAAGTCAGGAAAATGCCACAATGCTGATCCGAGCTCTCATTTGTTACTTTAAGTATCATGTGTTTGGAATGATAAGAGTCAACGAGAGAGTCCCACCGCACTCCTGACCGAGAAGCCCCATATATTATGTGAGGTGCTGAAGTGGCCATGGATGGCGCCGCCAAATACTTGCAAAACAGAATAAACGGTCACCAGCACTCCAAGTCTTCTTCAAAATGAAATCCTTTTATTCATTGTAGCAGGTCATATCACCATGCGTGGCAACGTTTCGGAACCTGCCCGGTCCCTTCATCATGATCATGCTGCTGACCATTTATTCTGTGTTGCAGGAATGATGAGAGGGATACAGAAACATTTTTATTTTCCATTTTAAAAAAATATATATTTCTGCCCGGAGTTCAGCAATGTTTTGCACAATCCATAAACTACACATTTGATAAGAGCTGCATTCTCTGGCCATGTTTGAAGTTTAAACAATCTCCAGACTTTAAGTTTGTAGCTTTTCATCATGAAAAGGAGCTTCTTTCATTCTGCCAGTGACCCAGAAACAATCTGCCAGATGAGTTCTGGTTACAGACTGTGATGGTGAAGAAACAGTCTGGTGAAGCCGCACAATGGCAGCTAGTGTTTGATGATCTGTTTTGACTGTCTTGAGATCTCATTCAGCATTACGCTGAATGTGGTTAGACAATCAGTGAAATGTGTTCCTGATATTACACCAGGAATCGGGAATAAAGTGTGTGAGTGTGCGGGCGGTTGATGCAGTTGCAGCAGTACATAGTAACATAGTATTTGAGGTTGAATAAAGACATAAGTCCATCAAGTCCAAACTATTGTGTGTGTGCATTTATGTTTGAGCTGGTGTGTGAGTGTGTATTAGTCCATGTATGATTTTGCTCTCAGGAGTACCTGTACCCCTGTATATTATGGTCTCCAAGGAACTCGTCCAGGAGTTTCTTGAATGATTCCACACTCTTAGCTGAAATCACTTCCTGCGGCAGCGAGTTCCAGACCTTAACCGCTCTAACTGTGAAGAACCCCTTGCGCCCTGTGTGTTGAAATTTTTTTTCCGTGTGTGTGAACTGGATTATATTGCAGGCATTCCAAAAAAACATTGAGGATGATCTACTAAAGGAGTTGAGAATTTTCACTCAATACGTTTTGTGAATGTTTACTTCAGTTATCCAATCATGTGAAAAGGAAATACCTGTTCACCTTAAATACCCAGTCATGTGCAGATTAAATAATGCCAATAAAAGAATGTGTGACTCAAAATTCTTCAAACATCCATCTACAGCAAAAATATTATTAAGCCTCAAACTTCTAGAGGCAGAGCCAGCTGTACCCGCCCCCTCCCTGTCCGATCCGCCAGTCAGCGCTGGCGGGGAGGGGGGAATACAGCCCCTCCCCTGTCACGGCAGAGAACCGTGACAGGATCGAGAGGTGAGCGAGCGCCGGTATGTGTTCGCTCACCTCCCGATCTACTGAGCTGACCCGTGACAGTCTCATTGTCACAGGTCGGTTAGAACTATGAGGTGAGTGAGATCAAAATAGTGCTTGTAGCATTTTGATCGCACCGCACAAGTTCGGACCGCAGGCACAATGTGCCTTGCGATCCCGTGCGGCGGATCGCATTGCGGCTACTTGAATGGCCCGCCACGCCCCCTCCTACCCCACTAAAAAGTGAGCCGCCTGCAATGCGAGGCAGTGCGTTCCGGCTGCACTGCATCTAGTGTGACTGAGCCCTTAAGGATGCAGTCCACTTCCAATATTTTCTGTTTAAGGGCTTGGTAGCCCACTTTTATTCAAACAAAAGTTCATACATCCGTCTTGGATACCCTCAGAGGGGTTGTTCAGCATAACATTCATGCAAGGCTTCATAACAACCAGTGGCATCACAAGTCGGGCGCTCGGTCATGGACCGAACGCCCGACAGTATCAGGAGAGAGGAGGGGACCCGGCGGCATACCTTATCCCGCCAGGTGACTGTCCCCTCCTCTCTCTGCCAGGTAGGTATCCGAATACTGCCGTGCGTGCGCGCGCAGTGACGTCTCGGCGGGGTGACACTTGGTTACCGCTCCGGGTGTCACCCAGCCTCAGGACGCCCCTGATAACATACGTATAGCCTCCTGACTTCCACTTTAAACATTAGCACTTCTGACCCACTGGTCCTCTTTGAAGTGCTGTCCCACACTTGTACTGGTGGCCACTCAGGCTCACTGCCCTCCTAGTCTCACCAGTTCTCTCCCAGCTTCCCTGGCTGTCTTTGTTTGCCTCCAGCACACACACCACCTGACTCCACTTTAAATGCTGGGGTAGTCCTCCTCACCCCTGAACACCATCCAGTCCTATCGCAGCAGGAGCTCACCCAATAGGTCTGTTCCTATTTCCCAGCAGGAGCTAATTCCCCTACCCAGCATCCTTTCCTGAAGGGCTGTGCACCACTGTGCAATCATCAGGTGCTGGTCACTGCTAAAGCCTGGACCCAGGACTGGAGACCTCATCCCTCCTGAATCACTTTGAAAACTCCCAGGTCTCATCATGAGTCCCAGGCTGATGAGAATAGGCTAAAAATACATTCTCCAATGATGGTGTGTATCAAGGATTTTATCTTGGATTTGGAAGTATACTTTTTGGAGGTGGCAATGGGACCTTACGGGTGTCTTAATGTTGTAGGGGTTATGGATGTAATTGGCCAGGATGTTTGGATATTTGGGGTTGGCAGCTTCTGGGATTCTACTGTCTCCTTGGGTTGTAAATGAAATAATGTGAAATTGAAGCACCACAATGAAAATTAATAATCCAGATTGTAAGGCCATACCCAGGAGCTTGGGCGCTACTGCGCATGCGTGGGTCCCAGTCTTCCAGGTTGCCAGAAAACATGCATGCGTGCACAATGGAATGTGGCCCACAGGAAGTGACTCATGGTTCTCTAATAGATGTTCCTATTTAAACCAGCTGGCCCAATGGGTCAGTGCTGAATGGTCTTTTAGCTTGTGTTTGTGTTCCTGCTGATCTGTTGCCTGTTACCTCGACCCGGATTGCTACAGACTTTGACTGATTGCTGCCTGCCCCTGACCTCTGCTTGTTATCTGGACTCTGCCTCCGCCTGCTCCTTCTGTACCGCGCTGACCGTCTGGCTTGTTTGACCTCGCACCAGATTCTGCTGCAAACCTTGCTGACATCACAGCTGTGCATCAGCCCTACTCATCCTTCCAGGGATCCAGTTGGTGGACTTCTACCAGGCACCGTGTCTGAACACTTTG